ATAAGGGAATATTGATAATGTATATATTTTGAGGCAAAAAAAAAAAAATAATGTCACCTCAAGGTGGAGGTGTTTGCGCGTTCTTCAATGGGGGCGAAGGACGCTACGGAGGGGGGGGAGGGGTTCCCGCCAAATACACACCGAAACTACGACGTTGGTACAACGTTCGAACAAGTTTTAACACCTCCTAACCAGTTATAATAACCAATATAGCAAGTTGTAACAACGTTCTCATACGTCATAGACACGTTAAGCCAAGATGTAACAACTTCATTACAAGTTGTAACAAGCGGAAAATAGAGACAGTTTCGGTTTGTGTTTCCATGGTTCGGTGTTCTGTTTGGCTAGAACAAAAGTAAACTACAATTGAAGAACAAACTATTGTAGCGTGCTTTAGACCTAGGTTTGGTTTGACCTTGGATAGGTTGAGCCTAAAGCAGGTTCAATTAGGTTGTTTCATAATTTGTTTGCAAAAGTAAATAATTTTTTCAGTTTTTTTCTTCAATTGTACAATGATCAAACTATTATGTACTAAATGAACTATTGTGTACTATTATATGAATTGTTTTACAGGATATTCATATGTATACACATACACATGCATAGACATGTATATAATCGAGCGAACGCACCTAAATAAAATATATATATAATATATATATATATATATATATATATATATATATATATATATATATATATATATATATATATATATATATATATATATATATATATATCGTTAAATATTTTACACAACGGACAGAGAAAACGAAGTCATAGCTAGAGGGGGAGACTAGGTCATAATGTACTTGTGTACAGTGAGTACTTGTGTGCATCTCTCATAACTTGTGCATTTGTAACTCATTTTGTCTTCATACAGCACAACCACAACCCACTTTCTACACTAAGATGCCTAGAGCTTAGGTTAGATGAACAAAGTATGTCAACTATCTCACTACCTTTACCTGATGTACCCACCGCATGTGTTAAAGGAGCCTTCTTGCATCCCTCCTGCAAGTTATGGTGAAATCCACTATAGCTGTGGCATGCTACCTTACTTCATAGGCCAATGTACCAACTAATTCATGCTAGAGATGCCAACTATAGCCTGTATATGTTAACCTAACTTGTACTACACTACACTACACACAGAAATCACAATCGCGTGATGCATCAAATGAACAAATCCACAAGAGCCATGACGAGGATTTGACCATGTAGCTCAGTCGATTAAGGCAGCGTCTGGGATGCTCTCGGACGAAGGTTCGAATCCTCGTCACGGCCCTTGTGGATTTGTTCTAACCTGTACTAGCAGACCTTGGATAACACGTTCGCTCCTACATCACATTGCATGTTGAAGTAATGTTTGCACTCGTGAATAAGAACAATGCATTGCTAGCTAAGATGAAAACATTAAATAATAAGCATTTATATGCTAATAATGCAATAAATAATGTATATTGCAAGGAATGTATACATGAACAATCGAGTCTGTTATACGCAAGTAACAGAATAAGGAACGATAGAGGAAGCTGCAGAAAAGGAACATAACCAAGTAACACAACAGACGTAGGGATCGTAAGATTGTTTCAAGTGTTAGCAAGAAATTGAAATTGAAATTGAAATAAGTTTATTGAGTTATAATTACACACAAAAGGAAGAGGTAGCTCAAGCTATTCTCACCCCGTTCAGTACATCGTGTTATATATATATATATATATATATATATATATATATATATATATATATATATATATATATATATATATATATATATATATATATATATATATATATATATATATATACACACATCACAAACAAAGAACATATTACGGAACACTATGAGTGATAAACATATATATTTCTTCCTTTACACATGCCATATGTTTCGAGACGTACACACACAAACGTACACACACTCAAACGTACACACAAAGATGTACACACAAAGATGTACACACAGATATGTATACACACACAAAATGTCAGCCAAAAGTTAACTTGTATGGTCTTCTATAGCTTCCGTTATTCCCATGTTCCTATTTTCACTCTTAAATACATTCATTGTATAATTTTTTTTCAATAATTCTCTATTTAAAATGTTAATTTAATATTTTTTTTTTACATATCCGAAATCCTATTTTCAAAGGAATAGTTAAATATTTTCTTCCTAAATCTAACATTTTTACTAAATGAATTCTGTTTGCTTTGTATTTCATTACTTTGTTTGTTTTAAATCTGTGTTTATATCTAAAATTTTTAATCCCACTTTGCGTTTGTACAGATCAGTCACGTGTTTTTTTTGTTTTTGTTTTAATTTACGTCGTTGGTTCAGTAGTTCTCATAATGCTGGATTATAACATACGAGATTATACCTTTGTCATTCCTCTCTGTGCGCTGGCAAGAGTTCACATTCAGGCTTTAATATCCACACATCCATGCTTCACATCCATGATTCAGTATCCATTTATCCATGCTCCACATCCATGCTTCGGTATCCATTCATCCATGCTTCAGTATCCATTCATCCATGCTCCACATCCATGCTTCGGTATCCATTCATCCATGCTTCAGTATCCATTCATCCATGCTTCAGTATCCATTCATCAATGCTTCACATCCATGCTTCGGTACCCATTCATCCATGCTTCGGTATCCATTCATCAATACTTCACATCCATGCTTTAGTATCCATTCATCCATGCTCTACATCCATGCTTCGGTATCCATTCATCAATGCTTCACATCCATGCTTCGGTACCCATTCATCCATGCTTCAGTATCCATTCATCAATACTTTACATCCATGCTTTAGTATCCATTCATCCATGCTCCCCATCCATGCTTCGGTATCCATTCATCCATGCTCTACACCCGTGCTTCGGTATCCATTCATCCATACTTTGCATCTATGCTTCACTACAGCACAATCATCTTACATAAATAAATAAATAAATAAATAAATAGTTTATTCAGGTAAAAGTACATATATACAAAATGAGTTACTAACTGCATGTACTTTCACCCCCAATCTTATGACTTACAATATCAGAAAGGCGGTTCTGTTTGACTTTACTCGCAAACCATTCCCAGGATGCGACCTTAGAGCCCGAGTACTCACTGTAAGGTGAACAGAGGCATCAGTTGAAAGAAAACTGCTGGCCAGACCCTTCTATCCTGCCGCAGGAGTCGAACCCGGGATCTTTTGTTTATGACCCGAGTGGGGTTAGCACAGTATATGTATAGTACATTATATGTACTATACATATAATAGTACATTACTGTACTGTATAGTACAGTATATGTACTGTGTAGGCACATCCGGTTCACGCAACAGATGGGTAAAAAATTTAACAGAAAATACAAAACAAAATCAATTTCTAAATGATTTTGAATATATATTCATTCAAGTGACATTGCGTTTTCTGTTTATGTATAATCCTGTTTGTTAGAAAACATGTATAATCCTGTTTGATAGAAAACCTTTCTAAATGCACCTCCTGGATCCTGTACACTATCAAGCCCAAGGCATACCGACCCCTCTCGCCCCTTAAGATGTGTATCCCATCTCCGAGTGAGTCTACACTGAGGTTTACATTTAGTCTAGAACGATTAAAGTAAACTTACTGGTTGGACAGTGAGCAAGAGTCACGGCCTTAATAATCCAAGTCCATATGCTGGTGGGCCTTAAGTCCAACGAGAGGTGCAGTATATCCTCATTCGTGAGTATATACATTGAGAAACAACTCTATTTCTTAACAAAATTCACAACAAAAGTATACTTCCTGGCTTTACAATAAGCTTTTTTTTTTTGTAGATTCATTGACCTGAATAAGCCTCAAACTCAACACCAAACAATCAAGCCGATAAATTGTTTTGTTATCTAACCTATTTGAAAATTACGCCCACAATAAATGACTGAATCACTCCAATTCTTAGCTGATACGTCGAGTCATGTGTTTTTATTCACAAGACTCATCCCTCATTCACACTAAACTGCACTCGACAAGTTTACTCACAAGACTCATCCATCATCCACACTAAACTGCACTCGACATGTTTACTCACAAGACTCATCCCTCATCCACACTAAACTGCACTCGACAAGTTTACTCACAAGACTCATCCATCATCCACACTAAACTGCACTCGACATGTTTACTCACAAGACTCATCCCTCATCCACACTAAACTGCACTCGACATGTTTACTCACAAGACTCATCCATCATCCACACTAAACTGCACTCGACATGTTTACTCACAAGACTCATCCCTCATTCACACTAAACTGCACTCGACATGTTTACTCACAAGACTCATCCCTCATTCACACTAAACTGCACTCGACAAGTTTACTCACAAGACTCATCCCTCATCCACACTAAACTGCACTCGACATGTTTACTCACAAGACTCATCCCTCATCCACACTAAACTGCACTCGACATGTTTACTCACAAGACTCATCCCTCATCCACACTAAACTGCACTCGACATGTTTACTCACAAGACTCATCCCTCATCCACACTAAACTGCACTCGACATGTTTACTCACAAGACTCATCCCTCATCCACACTAAACTGCACTCGACATGTTTACTCACAAGACTCATCCCTCATCCACACTAAACTGCACTCGACATGTTTACTCACAAGACTCATCCATCATCCACACTAAACTGCACTCGACAATTTTCGAAATTATATGCAGATCTTCTTAATTTTATGTTCATTGGCCAATTTATTTAACGTTACAGTTTCTTCATCTAGATTTTTTTAAATTATATGGTTAATGTTTTAATGTATAGTGTTTAATGTTTTAATGTATAGTGTTAAATGTTTTTCAATGTATTTAATATGAATATGGCACTTTAAGACAGAGATTGGAGTCACACATATATTGACTGAGATGAAATATGTCAGAGACAGAGAGACAGGTACAGATAGAGACAGAGATACAGGCACAGATAGAGACAGAGATACAGGCACAGATGGAGACAGAGATACAGGCACAGATAGAGACAGAGATACAGGCACAGATAGAGACAGAGATACAGGCACAGATGGAGACAGAGATACAGGCACAGATAGAGACAGAGATACAGGCACAGATGGAGACAGAGATACAGGCACAGATAGAGACAGAGATACAGGTACAGATAGAGACAGAGATACAGGCACAGATAGAGACAGAGATACAGGCACAGATAGAGACAGAGATACAGGCACAGATAGAGACAGAGATACAGGCACAGATAGAGACAGAGATACAGGCACAGATGGAGACAGAGATACAGGCACAGATAGAGACAGAGATACAGGCACAGATAGAGACAGAGATACAGGCACAGATGGAGACAGAGATACAGGCACAGATAGAGACAGAGATACAGGCACAGATGGAGACAGAGATACAGGCACAGATAGAGACAGAGATACAGGCACAGATAGAGACAGAGATACAGGCACAGATGGAGACAGAGATACAGGCACAGAGAGAGACAGAGAGACAGGCACAGATTCAGACAAAAGAACAGGTAAATACAGAGAGAAGGGGGGAAGGTGCAAAGATTGAAACAGAGGTGGTCAAAGACGGATGTAACATAGCGTCAAACAAAGACTTGCTGAAGTGCTTTATTTTTCATTGTGATAAAGTTTGGTGCTAACAGTGACTATTAAAGCAAGTAGAATATTTATAAGATGAACAAATGCAATAAAGTCTATCCTGCTCTGTGCCACGGAGACGAAATAACAGAGAGAGAGAGAGAGAGAGAGAGAGAGAGAGAGAGAGAGAGAGAGAGAGAGAGAGAGAGAGAGAGAGAGAGAGAGAGAGAGAGAGAGAGAGAGAGTGTGGTGGTCTGACCTCAGGATCAACATATTCAGGGAAACGGATCAGTCTCATTCATTAATATATCGTTACGTCTCCTCCAACTAATCATACTTGTTTTTTTTTAATTATTACTAATATTGTTTTATTTCTAATATTTTAATTACTATTTTATTATAGAATTACATTGTTTAGTTATCATTAACAACGTTATAATTACTGTTATCATCCTCTTTAACACTTTTATGTATAATTTTTCTCTGTCGCACATTAATTTTTTATTATGATAACGCGTTTAGCTTCATCCGAACTCACCTAATTGTACTCAATCGTGCTGGAAAGAGGATTGAGCTTCGGCTCTTTACTCCAGCCTTTGAAATGTCAATCAACTGGTATACAAGTCCCTGAGGTTATTAGGCTCTATCATATCTCCTCTTAAAACCACAATGTCAAGTCTTATTGCAATTTATTTATTCATGACTGATACTTAAGCATGTTTTTTTTTTCCTTTTCAATGTCTCTGTGGCTCATTTGATTACTCAGGTCCCACCTGTGTTTTCTTCTAAGTGTACCACCCGTGCTGAATAGTTTGTCCTTGTCTGCTATATCAATTCCACTGAGAATGGTGCATGGGGTTATCATGAATATCTCTCCTAAAACGCGTTTTAAGACTTACGTCTTCCAGAGACGTAAGGAATATATGTGTGTGTCTCCAATCTCTGTCTTAATATCCGTCTTCCAGCGACGTAATTTTAATTCCTATAGCCTTTTCCCTGTAACTAATTCCTGTCAGTTCTGGGACTAGATCAAAGATATGCTACTCAAAGGTGGCATATCTTTGAACTTCCTCTAACTTCCCTGTGAACGTGAGTAGATAAGGGCTTCATGTTGACGTATGTGATGTACGCGGTTCTTAATGATTGCATACTTAAATTTCTACTGGTAGGTCTTGTGTTAGTCAACTTCGTATGTAGGCCGCTGATGAGATCCTTTTGATGTGGGCTTTAGAAGGCAGGTTGTGTGTGTGTATTTATTTGTTTATGATAGCAGGAGCGAGTTGCAAGCTCATGGATCCCACCTTTATGAACGTTAGTTATCTAATGTTCTTAATCCGGAGATATTTTTTCGTTCATATCTTCTATATATTCTCTTTCTTTCCCTCTCTCTCGTGCGCGCGCTCTCTGTCACACACACACACACACACACACACACACACACACACACACACACACACACACACACACACACACACACACACACACACTAATGAGCCATAAAATCATTGAAAGCAATTTTGTTAGTGTCAGAGCAGTCAATAAATTGAATGCATTAGGAAGTGGTGTGGTGGAGGCTGACTCCAAACACAGTTTCAAGTGTAGATATGACAGATACCAATAGGCTCAGGAACTTGTACACCTGTTGATTGACGATTGAGAGACGGGACCAAAGAGTCGAAGCTCAACTCCCGCAAGCACAACTATGTGAGTAAACACACATATCCTCAAAATTCTGACCACAACAGCCTGCTATAACTCTCAGATACCTACTTACTCCTTGGTGGAAGAAAATAATTAAGATTTCTCATCCTAACTATCCTCGACTCCCAACACAATTCACCTCCAGCCTACGGTGACATTTTTCTCAGGCAATATGCAAGCATTGCAAGGAAAAATAACCTCTTTATGAACAAATCCACAAGGGCCGTGACGAGGATTCGAACCTGCGTCCCATGTGGATTTGTTCATTTGATGCATCACGTTAGTGTGATCTCTGTGTGTAACCTCTCTATGGATATACATCACCTTGCTATTACCTATGTAAATCGCAACATCAACATTGAAACTGCCTGTAGTGAAATTTGCTCAAGATGAAGACTATGACGTAACTCCATTTGAAATTAAAAATGCACCCACGTAAGGTAATTCATCACGGTGATACAGACCTAACTACCAAATTAGTATACAATAAGGGTGAAGTTGTATTAAACCTATTAATATCTATGTTGTTAAGAACCTGCCTACCGTTTCCTGTGGCAGGTGGCTACCGTTACCTGTGGCAGGTGGCTACCGTTACCTGTGGCAGGTGGCTACCGTTACCTATGACAGGTGGCTACCGTTACCTGTGGCAGGTGGCTACCGTTACCTGTGGCAGGTGGCTACCGTTACCTGTGGCAGGTGGCTACCGTTACCTGAATTTCTGAGCAATTTCATAGCAAGCTCTTGACACACGCTATGTAGCCCTTCATGTAGTCTAGGAAAGCTGTATCAATGCAGCGAAATGTTGCTCGGATAATGTGTAAGCGCTGTCAGCATAATATGGAAAGATAATTTTTTTCGGTGAACAGAAGTATCAGCTGAAATAAATCATACACATTTGTTCTGCCTCAGTCGGAAATCGAACCAGTGCCCGTAGATTGCGAATCAAGACGTTTCAATTAATTTGTAATAAATGCGTTAGTAAAATGTTTAAAAGCAATGTCTACTTTTCTTTTAATTACCACAAAAAGCCTAGATTTTAAGTTGTATTTAAACTCTATTTCAAAGATACTGAAGTGTTGAATATATATATATATATATATATATATATATATATATATATATATATATATATATATATATATATATATATATATATATATATATATATATTATTAAATATGACCGAAAAAGTAAGATTAATAATTCTAACACGAATTTTCTCAATCTTTCGTACATTACGCTTCACTGTTGGAGGTGAATCAAAAATCAATTCTCCAAAATTCATTTTTATTTTGGAGATTTGATTTTTGATTCACCTCCAACAGTGAAGAGTAATGTACGAAAGATTGAGAAAATTCGTGTTAGAATTATTAATCTTACTTTTTCGGTCATATTTAATAATATATGTCTACAGGAAAGACTGCTACCAAAATATACTATATATATATATATATATATATATATATATATATATATATATATATATATATATATATATATATATATATATATATATATATATATATATATATATATATATATATATATATATATATATATATATATATATATATATGTCGTACCTAGTAGCCAGAACTCACTTTTCAGCCTACAATGCAAGGCCCGATTTGCCTAATAAGCCAAGTTTTCATGAATTAATATATTTTCTCTAAATTTTTTCTTATGAAATGATAAAGCAACCCATTTCATTATGTAAGAGGTCAATTTTTTTTTATTGGAGTTAAAATTAACGTAGATATATGACCGAACCTAACCAACCCTACCTAACCTAACCTAACCTATCTTTATAGGTTAGGTTAGGTTAGGTAGCCGAAAAAGTTAGGTTAGGTTAGGTTAGGTAGGTTAGGTAGTCGAAAAGCAATTAATTCATGAAAACTTGGCTTATTAGGCAAATTGGGCCTTGCATAGTAGGCTCAGAAGTGAGTTCTGGCTACTAGGTACGACATATATATATATATATATATATATATATATATATATATATATATATATATATATATATATATATATATATATATATATATATATATTCATTCAATTTAGATGTCCCTGAAAAAAATATAATCGTCAATTCTGAAAATTTGCTAACCAGTATTTTGCTTCATATTTGTTCATGATATAAACACATGATCACATTAATTGAATACAAGTTATTGACCAGTATTTATAAAGTTAATTGAATAATAGGAATAAACCTCGAAAAGGATTTTTGTGGCATTATTTTTTTAACAAAGAAAAGTAAATTTCAAAATTATATTTTTGTAATTTACTGTGAAATCTGTGATAGTGCTGATCAGATTCCGATGCAAATTTGCATTCAATGTACTAAGCAACAGATTTTGCAATTTCATAATTATATCTTTTCCCAAATCTGTTTTTAATGAGGTATATTTTTTTTTTTATATTTTTGAGCTTAAATTTCTCATTGAGGATCTTTTTCATTTGAAAAAATAATAAAAAATATATCATTAAATTTTAGAAATATACTTTGATCATTCCATTTATACCAAATAAATAAATTTCAATACTATTCTTGAAAAATGTGAAAAATTGGCCAAAAGAGTTGACACCCACGCACGAAGAGTTAAATTAAAACAAGAAATAGCAATCTGAAAACATCTAAAGATGACTAGAGTAGATATGATCACAACGTACAAAATACCGAGGGCTGTAACAGACAAGGGTGGACAAGGACAGCTTTTTCTAAAATGAGAAAAAAAGAGAACATCACATGACAAACAAATTCTTCCAAGAAACGCTCAAGTGGTCAACAAGACGGAATCACAAGGATAAGAAATCTTAGCAGCTGCCGCTCATCTTAACTTCAGAAACAAACAGGACTCAGAGAGCTCTAACGTGAAGAGATTTAAAGAAAGAAAACACATGCTCGAAGAACAAACAAAAAAGTCTGGAGGCGGGGCTCACACACACACACACACACACACACACACACACACACACACACACACACACACACACACACACACACACACACACACACACACACACACATAGACACACACAAAATACACCTGTGTGTGTATATATACACCTGTTGATTGACGGTTGAGAGGCGGGACCAAAGAGCCAGAGCTCAACCCCCGCAAGCACAACTAGGTGAGTACAACTACGTGAGTACAACTAGGTGAGTACACACACACACACACACACACACACACACACACACACACACACACACACACACACACAC